TGCTGGGTTTGCCCTTGGTCTAGGGGGCGTAGGGAGCGTCCAGCCTGCGGACCGTCAGGTGCCCACAAAAATCACCTGGTCTAGCCCTACCGTGGCAGCTGCAGCCGGGACTCGAAATCCAAGAAATCCATAGCAGCATTAATGTTTCAGCTGATCATTTTGTGTGGCCCACGAATGATGTTACAAATAGCCAAGTGACCCATGGCAAAAACGAAAAAGGTAGTCCACTGTTCTTTCAACTCAAAAAGAAGCTCTAAGATTCAGTCTTGCTCAGTGAACTGAAAATCCTGAAACAAGTTCTGTTTTTGTTTTTTTTTTTTTTTAAGATTTGTTTATTTGAAAGGCAGAGTTAGAGAGAAGGGATACACAGAAAGAGATCTTCCATCCGTTGGTTTAACCCAAAATGGCCACAACGGTCAAGGCTGGGCCAGACTGAAGCCAGGAGCCAGGAGCTTAATCCGGGTCTCCCATGAAGGCACAGGGGCCCAAGTACTTGCACCGTCTTCCACTGCTTTCCCAGGTGCAATAGCAGGGAGCTGGATCGAAAGTGGAGTGGCCAGACCCTTAACCAGCATCCATATGGGATGCCAGTGTCACAGGCAGCAGCTTCCTGCTATGCCACAGTGCTGACCCCAAAAATCCTGTCTTAAAATATAACTTTGATTTAAAATTAGTCAGGTGTGGCGTGGCCAACAGACCAGAAGACTACTGTTGAAGATATTTTCCTACTTAGTTCCCAGCAGGAGGCGACACCCACACCATGTTGGTCAGGGGACTGAGGGCAGGAGGGGAAGTGTAGGCCAGAGGTTGCATTGTGGCTCCTGCTCCCTGGGACGGGCTGGGCAGGGTAAGCAGGCATGCTGTTAGGTGGTTTGAATGGTTTCAGCAGCCTCAGTGGTATATAGGAGCTGTCCTTTATTTTCTGGTGCATGTCTGTGGGTGATTAGGGCCCAGACGTAGTGCCCCTGGTTGTGGGAGCCAATAGAGGTGATGGGGGATATGGGCATGTCTAAGTCACACTCACTGATGACCTAAAAAACTGGCCCGCTCTGGGAGGAGCAGAGCATCCAGGGTCAGCAAGGGCCCAGACATCAAAGCACCGTGAAGCCTTGGTTAAAACAGAGCAGAACTAGAACTGTCCATGCACACTCTCTGAATCCAAGACCAGATTCACCCTGAGACCAGGAATTTTCTTTGTGAATGGAGCCTTTCCCACACTGGTGATTAGGAAATGCAACATCGCCACCTACTGGCGAGGAGGAGTAGGACCCTTATCTTATGAACATTCCAAGCAAGAACTGACTTTTTTAAAAAGAAAATCTCTTAATTGAATCCGAATCATCCGCAGTCGTCATTTCCCCAGAGTCTCTTCCCTGGGGATGGGGGGGCTGTTTCTCTGCAGATGCGTGTGCCTTGGCAGTTCCTTGGCACGGATGGCAAGTTGGAGATGAGTTAAATATCCAAGGTTACAGAGCCATTCCAGGGCAGGACGGGCAACCCTGGGAACGCACAGGGTTTTGCTGGCTGTTGTCTTGGTGATAACAGGAAGCCGCTTGCCAGTTTGTGTCAGCAGCACACATGCTTTCCTCATCTCGGGTCGTGTTTGTTGCTTCCTCTGCCGACTCCACCTCCTTGGAGTCACACACAGCCACCTGGGCAGGAACAGGGGCTTCCTGTCAGCTTTCATTTATGAGACAGCAAACGAAAGTGTTTTCTTTTTAGAGATTCATTTATTTGTTTGAAAGGCAGAGTTACAGAGAGGGAGAGGCAGAGAAAGAGAGAGAGAGAGAATGAGAGAAACTTCCATCCACTGGTTCCCTTCCCAAATGGCTGCAATGGCTGGAGCTGCGCCCATCCGAAGCCAGGAGCCAGGAGCCAGGAGCTCCACGTGGGTGCAGGGGCCCAAGGACTTGGGCCATCTTCCACTGCTTTCCCAGGCCACAGCAGAGAGCTGGATCAGAAGTAGAGAAGCCGGGACTAGAACTGGTGCCCATATGGGATGCCGGCACTGCAGCGGGGAGGGGCACCCATGTCTAAACTCCTCAGTTCTAAGATAGATGTTGATGTTTTGCAAATTCGGCGATGTCAGCCCCTGCAAATTGAAACTCGACATTATTATCCTGGTGCTAAGGCCTCTGTCCACCTCAGGGGCCTCGGCTGCTGTCCGGGGTGCGATACCAGGGAGGCAGCACTGTTGTCACGGCTCTCCATGTTAACAGTGAGAGGAAGGAGCAGGCGGAGGATTCCCGGCTGGAACTGATGACATCTGAGAAGCCACTTTTTATTGGTCTCCCTCCCACGTCGCCCTTCTCACTGTTCAGAAAGAACTCTGGGGGCTGACACTGTGGCACAGCAGGTTCAGCCACCACCTGTGACACCAGCATCCCATGTGAGTGCCAGTGTGGGTCCCGGCTGCTCCACTTCTGACCCAGCTCCCTGCTAATGCACCTGGGGCCCCTGCCATCCATGTGGGAGACAAGGATGGAGTTCCTGGCTCCTGCCTTCAGCATGGGCCAGCCCGGGCCATCGCTGCCATTTGGGGGAGTTGTTCAGTGGATGGAATATCTGTTTCTGTATCTCTCTCTCTTTCTCTCTGTCACTCGCCTTTCAAATAAATAGATAAATAAGTGATCCAGGTGGAATAGGAAGGAGAAAAGTCAAAAATTAGAGTCCATCGCAGATACTAAATTCATGTTTCTGCCAAGCAGAATACAAATATTTTGAATACAAATATTAAATATTTTAATACAAATATTAAAAAATATTTGTATTCAAAAATATGTTTGAGATACAAAAGTGAGCAAGATTTGGTCTTAACTCTCTAGGAGTTGGCAGCCTGAGAACAAGGAAATCTGAGTAAGCAGGAGGTTCCTGGACCGTGGCCCAGGGCAGGGAGAGGAGCTGTCCCCTGGAGAAGGGGAGCAGATTTCCCTGCGTGGAGCTCCCGGGCCGGCCAGAAGGACCCACCTAGAATATGGAGGGGTCTTCACCGGAGTAGCTTGAACAAGACCTGGAGGCAAGATGCGTCCAGGATGGGCACAGCTACAGGTTGCCAAGGGATTGTCGGGTGACACGAAGTTCTAAGATATGGGGCCTTAATGTTCATATCCAGGGTCATTACCTGGGGTCCATCGGCCCCCTCCTCATTACCTTGGGCAGTCATGAGAACAGTGCTGCCCCTCTGTACCCAACACCAGGGTCACCACAGAGGGCCCTGAGGTTGACAGCCACTCTGGCCCCTTCATAATGGACTTGGAGCCTAAATCTGCAGGGTGTGAAATGGCATCTATTTAAAGCACCACCACATGTCTTTATCCCGTTGTCTTTACCCCTCCCTGCCCTCTCTGTTCCTTCCTCCCATTATTCCCTCTCTCCCACTGTTATTTATTCGATTATTCTGGCTACCTGTCACCAAAGGCCCCTCATAAAGGATCTAGATGGAGGTGTTTTAAAATGAAATCAGATTTAAATGGCTTTGCTTCTACATTTTGGTTTCCATTATTAGCTGGCTGAAAGTTGTACAACATTATAGTCCCTCTGAAACCTTGCACACCCTAGATGGAGACCTCTGTGGCCTGAGACACCTGTTCCAAAAACAGGGTCTGGATGCTCTGGGGATGTGGTGGGCGTGGCTAACAGCCTGCCAATCAAGTCACTCCTAGGCTCAGCAAAGTAGGAGGACCATTCTGTCATGTCTGGAAATATTGCAGACCCTGATGTGATAATAATCGTACTGCTGTTATCTGTTGATTGAGACAATTAATAACTGAATCATTCCAGATCCACTAGCAAACCGAAATGACTCCAGTATATTAATGACACCTGAAAATTGATAGAAGACGCTAATCATTTCGGCTGTAGATAAGAGGTTGCAAACTGGTGGGCTGTGGGCTTAACCTAGCCTGCAGATCTATTCCATTTATCTCCTTCCATGATGGCTGCTTCTTTTGGCCAACAAATTGTTGTTTGGATCCGTTTGTGGTATTTCAGAATGAGTAGGTGGAGGGCCATCGACCAAGTCATGGGAAGCTGCAGCCCAGCGCGAGGGTATCCCAGAGCTGGTCTTTGGCTCCCCCCACCCTGCCCGCCATGGGTTCCAGCCATGTCAGATTGTAAGGATGTTCTAGAAGGTGATAATACTTGTTTCTTCTCATTTCGCCTTCTACGCTCTCTTGATCTACCCAGTTTCCAAGAGCCAAGCACCCCGCGTCCCCCTGGCCCAGCCTAAGGGTGTCACAGCCACCCACTGAGTCTGCTTCCCCTCCAGCTGAGTTTCAGCCATCTCCATCTACGCTCAACATGCCAGCCCCCACCCCCATCAGTGCAGCCCACCCTGAGACAGCACATTACCTGACTAAGGCATTCAGTAATCTCCCAAGTCCATGTGTAAAGGAACATCTAGCATAAGCTTACATAGTACCAGCGTGTTTGATCTTGACAACATCTGTGAGCTCCACGTGGGTAGACATCCATTGTGAAGAACACTTAGCACAGCACTCTGCGTGTGCGCAGAACGAATCCTGCCTCGCCACCTTCAGGAAGACAGGCGGTAGTCACTTCAAAGAGAAATGGGACCTTCCTCCCCTTACTGATGAAGCAGAGGAAACAATCTAGAAAAAAAATTCAGCTGGACAAAGATTACTTCCAAAAAGCCATATGATGGAAACAAATAACACTGTTGAAAATTGGCAAGGAGGTGGGGGAAAAGAAAGTGTAGATGGTCTGGTTGGAGTCGGCTCCAGCAGGTGGAAGGCAGGCCTGGTTCTTCGGCTACTAGGAGGGCTGTCGGGCGTGGCATCCTAACCGGCTATACACGTACGGGAAAACAGCGTGCCTTCCAACAGGAACCACGGGAAGAGCATCCATGGCATGTTTTTCTTTCCTTCATTTAGGATTGGGAGCTCTGTGCCTCATCCCAAGCTGTGTAGCACTAGAGGGTCTCTGTGTAGCTTGCAGGACCTGCTGACCCTGTGGTTCACGTTCTGTTTTTCTTTTTCCAGGTTCTACATAGAGAGCATTTCCTACCTGAAGGACAATGCCACCATTGAGCTCTTCTTTCTGAACGCCAAGTCCTGTATCTACAAGGTAAGAGCCTCGTCCTGCCCCGGTTGGCCCTGGAATCTGGAACTCTCATCTGAAGCTGGGAGAGAACCAGACCACGGGCCACAGGGTGATGCTGTTGATTAGAAGTAATTTGTACATTGGTGACTGTGGGCAAGTGGAAACTTCTGGAAACAGAGGGCAGCGGCTCTGTGACGTAGCTTCTTTCCATCCCTTCTGTCTGTTTCTGCTTCCGGGGGAGATGCCTTTTAACCTTATTACAGGTATGGCCGGTGTACTGGTCAACTTAGGCATGGGAAATGTGAGTGACCTCCTTAGAACCAGAAAAGGTATTGACTGTTTTTATATGACTTACCAGCATCAGCCCTAAAGAAGAATTCTAGTAGTAATTTAAGTATGACAGTTTCCTTTCATGGTAAAATACCCAGAAATTTGCCATCAGAGTCACTTGTAGGTCTGCAGCTCAGTGGCATTCGGCACATTTCACATTGTTACACGACCACCACCACAGTCCATCTCCAGAACTATTTTTGCTTTGCAAATCTGAAATCTTACACCCATCAAGCAATAACTCCCCATCCCCCTGTCCCTTCATTCCTTAGCAGCCGCCATTCCACTTTCTGTCTCTTCGCATTTATTCCAAGTCCCTTGGATAAGTGGAATCATAGGATACTTGTCATTTGTGTCTGGTTCACTTAGCATTGTGTCCCCAAGGTAGCGTGTATCTGAATGCCTTTCTTCTTTACAGTCAAATAGTACTCCATCATGTGTCTACAGACATCTTCTTTAACCCCTTCTCTGTTTCCACCTTTTGGTTATTGTGGCTAATGCTGCTATGTACAGGGATACACGGAGGCCCTGCTTTCAGTTGCGTTTGGTAGGTACCCAAGAAGGAAATGGCTGGCTCATGTGGGAATCCTGCCTTTCCTTTTTTGAGGAGCCTCATGCTGTCTTCCATGGCGGCTGCACCGTTTTATGTTCCCACTAACAGTGCACAAGCATCCCAGGTCCACATCCTCACCAACACTTACTCTTGTTCTGTTGTTGTTTTTCTTTTTTAAATAATAACCACCCTAATGGATGTGACGTAGCACCTGATTGTGGTTTTGACTTGTATTTCCCTGATTGATAGGGATTCCAGGGACCCCCTAGAAAGGAAAGGAAAGACCTGGGGAAGAAGAAGCAGGTGACATAACCCTCCAGGAGCCCTGAGGGAGGGGGATACGGGAGAAACATATACCCTGTAATCTTCAGATGCTGTTGCTTCTGCTGCACTCACCTGGTTTGAGCACTCTGCATACTTCTGTGCAAAACAGGATACTTCAGTGTCCGTCCTCTGATTGGTTCACATAGGACATCTCATTAGCATATACCTCCCCCAATCAGGGAGAACTTCCTGCCTTAGAAACAGATAAAAATCCAAGCCAGGAAGTCTTGAGATGCAGCTGCAGGGGTAGGCCTCCAAGCTCTGCTCACTGCTTCCTTGTCCGTGTGCCTCATTCTTCATGGTCACGAGACAAAGAACCTGCAGAGAAGGGAAGCAGAAACCCAGAAGCGGCGGCACACCTCAGCGGATCTGGCAGAGAAGAGGGCTGCTGCACAGAGAGCTGCTACATGAGAGCTGTGCCATTCCTGAAGGCCGCATCTCTCCTGGACAAGACTCAGACCCGAGAGACTGGAGCCGCGTGCTCCTGCCCTACCCCTCTAACACTGACCCCGGACCTCCTGCACCACGATGACTCTTCCCGATGTTAAACATCTTCTCATGTGCTCATTGGCCATGTGTGCATCTTCTCTGGAAAAGCGCCTACTTGGAAGACAGTCCTTAACTGATTTGGTCAGTTGCTTGCACAGCATCCAACTCCCCTTGTGTGCCTGTAGTGTTTCCTTTCATTGGCTAACCCCCACCTATCATTCTGCTGCACACACACCTCTCTTGAGGGAGAGGGGCTTGCAAAACCTCGCCTGACTGAGAGCCACTACTGGGGGAACACGTTTATAGGAAACCCCCACTCCACTGGCCAACCCCAGTGCGCGTGTTGTCTTAATCCATTTTCTGCTGCTCTAATGAAGTACCTATGGCTGTTAAGAGGTTTACTTGGCTCACGGTTCTGGAATGTTAACAGCATAACGCCAGCACTGCTTAGCTCTGGCCAGGGCCTTGTGACAGATGACATCAGAGTGGCAGGAGTGCGTGTGAGAAGGAGGAGGGGTGTGTGCAGACAAGACTGGGTGCAGGAGGTGGCGTGGCTTCAAAGCAACCTGCTGTCATGAGAACAAATTCAATCATCCCTTCAAGGCCAGCACCCATCCATTCACAAGTGAATAGCTCCTGGGACCTAATCACCATCCCCACAGGTCCCTCCCCCTCAGCACCCCTGCCCTGGGGCCAAGCTTCCAGGACAGGAGACACTGAGGGCCAAATCACATCTAAGCCATAACGCACGTTATGTCTCAGGGATGCAGCCTTCAGCATAGGTCTGCCCATTTGCAGGAACAGAGCAGAACAGGTGAAATCCTGCAGTGGGCTTAGGGCTAGTGCTTTGTGTGAATCTTCAAGCACCTTTTGAAATGAATGCTGCCTTGTATCCCTGTTTTCCCAATGAGGAAGATGAGGCTAGGCGAGATTCACCCAGAGTCACCTGTCTAGTGAATGGTGGCGTCAGTCTGGATTGGAGCAAGTGGCCTGACTCCAGATTGCTGGGCTCAGCTGCAGGGAGGCGTGCGGTGCCCTGGAGAGTGGCCTCTCCTTAGAGTGGAGGTTGCCCACGCAGCACAGAGAACTAAAGCCTAGTACACCTGTTGGTAAAGTGGCCAGTGGGTGGACCCCACAGAGTCTGAGGAGGTCTTTCAGCCTCTATTTTCATTTTTAACAAAACATTAAGAAACCTGGGAATCATGACAACCTGCCACACTTAAACACACACAGATGGGAGAGAGAGAGAGAGAGAGAGAGAGAGAGAGAACAAGCTGAAATGTTCTATGAGCCACCACCTTCCCTTCTGGAAGTACTTGAGCAGGTTCATTGCACAGAGTTTCTCCAAGTGCAAGAATTCAGAATGATGGGAGGCCTGGCAGTGGGCATATTCCCTGTGAGCTGTGCAAAGCCTCACCTGGTGGCAATTTCTGAGCCAGGATATAAACCGGGCTCCGACCCAGAGCACCCTCACGACAGTATTTCTTACTTTTGCCAAATGAAGGGAAAAAAGTCACTAAATGCAGTTCCAGATACTTGAAAATTCCTTTCTCACCAAAAGCCCTCATTTTCTCTCTGTTGAGTGGGAATAATAGAAGCAGCCTTAATACCTCACAAATTGTAAGAGGATCTATGGGTTGTGGTTTCTCACGGATGTGAAAGTGCTTCCAAAAAGTTCATTGGAGGGTGAACCAATGGCAAAGGAAGACCTTTCTCTCTGTCTCTCTCTGTCCACTCTGCCTGTCAAAAAAAAAAAAAAGTTCAGACATGTAAAGTGAGCACTGTCCACCAGGTGGCAGACTCGGGCAGCAAAGTGAATGCTTGGCAGTCCTTGAACCTGTGAAATCATTCTCAAGTCACGTAAGAGTTGCCCCGCCCCCAGGGAACTTGTACAGACAGGGGGTTAAGGGAGAGGGAACGGTGTCTCCCTAAGATTGTTAATGCTGACCTGGAGCAGGACTTCATGGACGCTGAGTGCTCTTGAGATTCCTGGAAAAGAAGAAAGCAGGATAAATCCACAGAACCAAGTATTACAGACTTACCATGTCGGAGGTGAGGGTGCAGTTGGAGCAGACAGCATCCGCTGCCTGCTGACCCGGGTGGAGAAAGTCCTTCCAGAACTCCAGCTCTCTGCACTCAGGCTTGGTCATCAGAACCATGAAAAATGATCCAAGGATGCTCTCTGACATTTGTGTAGGAGCCTCAGGGATCGAAACTAATATTTGCATTTTCGTAGCTTGACATTTAGTGTTTACTGAATGTCCTTCCTCGGTATTATCTTTTGGAGCCGTCAACCTCCAAGTGAAGCAGAACAGGAATCATGAGCTTTCCAGAGGAGAAAGCTGGTGTTCAGAGAGGGCAGGTGGCTTAACTCAGGAAAGACAGGACGGGCAGAGGTTGAAGAGCCGGGGGTAACCTGTTTCACACGGCCATAAATACTAAATATGTAAAGAGGGTGGGAGGCCGTGTAGGGAGGCTGTGCAGGAGTGATCAGGAGTCTGACTTCTGCTGTTGGACACACTTAGGGGCCCTTCCCAGCTCTGCCCCTGGGTAAGTGCAGCACGCGTGGAGTCCTCCACTGTCTCCAAGCTCCATCTTCCTTTTGGATTAGACAGAGGTATCACAGGATGAGATGACTCAGCAAGACGCGCACGTTGTGTTATTAGCAACTTGGATTCAGACCCAGTTGTTTCCCTTGGCTGTAGCTTTCTTTCTGCCACCCACACTGCCACCACCTTGGCAAGCCCAGTGGGCAGGGCCAGCCCTGATGCCAGTCATGGCAGGGAAACCAGGGCTTTGCTTACCCAGCCTGAGCCTCCTTCCGGTCTCCCCAGGGAGTGATCCCCCACAGTGCATAGAATCTTGGGTGTTCAGGTGCTATAAGCTGCATGCCTATTCCTGCTTCTTTCCCATTTCATTCACCTTAAAAAGTACTGAAAAATTCACCATAATCAGTGTAAGGTATGGTGCATAAAAGTCACATGATTCCAGGAGACCCCACCACCACCTGCCACCCAAGATGTGCCACTTTGAACCATGGCAGCGGTTTCTTCTAGTATTTGTCTTGTATTTTTCTAAATGATTGACACAAGGCAATAACTCCATGGTTTATCCATTTTAGATTTATTGAGTTCCTGTAACCATAGGCAAGGATTAGGGAGTCCCGTAAAACCACCCACACTTTCCCATTCCCTGTGTCCTCCAGTATGATGGTAGCACAGTCATCAGTAGGACGTTGTTATGACTAATTCTAGTGATATCCTACGGTTGTGTTTCCTTTCTCAGACAGCCAGTGTTCTGCCTGAAGGGGGTAAGCGCATAGCTTTTA